TTAATCCTAATTTGAATCCTGAGCCATTTATAACAAGCACAATCACAGAATCAGAGAATCATACAACTGTTGAGTTGGAAAGCACCTTGACGATCATGTAGTTCCAACCCCCCATAGGCAGGGACACCACCCCCTAGATCAGGTTGCTCAGGGCCTCATCTAACGTGGCCTTGAACACCCCCAAGGATGGAACATCCACAGCCTCAGCCACAGCATTCCACTCCCTGGACGCAAGTCATCAAGCCCCATAGACTTGTACTTCTTGACCTTCTTCAGGTGGACTCAAACCTTCTCTTCACTTACAACAGGTGGGAATTTGCACACCCCAGCCTCTATCTATGGGTTCAGAGAATGAAAGACTTGGGAAGCCTGACTGGCAGGGAAGACTGAAGAAAAGAAGTTGTTGAGTCCATTAGTCTTCTCCATGTCTGTCATTACCAGTTCACTCTTCTCATCCATCAGATGGGGTACGCTCTCCTTGGCCTTTCTTTTCTGAGCAAAGTACATATAGGATCTCTTCCTGTTATGCTTTTCATCCTCAGATAAGCTGAATTCCATCTGTGCCTTGGCTTTCCTTATCCCATCCCTACACATCCAAAACTGAAACATGTGAGAGGGCCTGGGAAAAGTAACCCTGGATCCACAGAAGCCACTTGGGAAACAAAACTTGTAGGTCGGAAGCATGATTTTGTGGAGGTGCAGAGCTGATGGGCACATTGCTCAGGATGCGCCTAAAGATTTTTGTGTCCTTTTCCGTCCTGACCACAATGCCACTTCCTTCTCAGGAATGGAGGAGCCAACAGAGGTGAGACAGATACACTGAGATGGCAAATGTCATCAGAAAGCTGATCCCAGTAAAATATGGGGAGGTGAGGAGCAGCCTGAACAAGCGACATGAGATTTTGGAGTGGTAAGAGGAGCATGGCCAGAAGAAATTAATGATTTCATACAGGTAAGAGCATTCATGCAATGCCGGTAGTACAGTAAGGCTGACTTAAAAAAGTCATATATGGCCCTTACCTTACTTGAGCCAGTAAATTTAACGCTAAATAAACCTAAATGCTACTACAACAAACTGAAAGAAATCAATTTTCTCTCTTGATAACCATAATCCTTTCACTTAACACTAACATTAAAATGCCTTATTTAACCCTAGACTCCTTGACAGACAAAAAACACCCGTGAACCACAGAGCTTGTCCATACCTTAACCACAGACGTAACAGCACAAGCAGAACACCAAAAACTCCTACTAAAACTTGGCTTAATCTCTAACCCAGAAAGTGAAAAAGAGATACCGAATGGGCTAGAGAAAGCTCAGCTCTACCTCAGGTTCTCCAGCCCCAGCAGGAGGAATGTGACTGTGGCAGGGACTGTGAGGTCACTTCTGTCTCTGCCGTTGATAGAGCAGCAGGAACGTGTCATGGAAAGGGACTGGGAGGTCACTTCTGTCTCTGCACTTGATAGGGCAGCAGCAGGAACATGTCACATAAAGGGGCTATGAAGTCAATTTAGTCTGGAGGTGGCAGGTCACCCTTGACTTCTCCCTGGAAGCTGCACTTTTGGGCTGACATCTGGCAGTGGCCCTGCTAGGCCAGCAGAAGGCACCTGCTTGGCATGCTGACTGGGGGATCCCCTCTGCCTCCAGAGCCAGGAGGACCCAGGCAGAAAGAAGGCCCCCAGATGGGTTGTCCTGTCCCTTCTGCTTGAGTCCATAACTGGGCAGCAGCAGGCACAAGGCTTGGCTGTGTCGAGCCAAGAAGCTGCAAGGCCAGCAGCAGGCCCCTGGCTTGGAAGCTGCTGCTGAGGTGACTTGTGTCTCCTTGGCTGAGAGGCCGCAAGGAGCCTGCTGGGTTGGGATGCCTACTTCAGGAGTGGTTTCCACCCTGATGGAGTTTTCTTTGGTAGTAGGAAAGAGCAGGAGAGAAAAAAATGCCACAAAGTGTGCAATGGAAGGTTGGCACCGGCCATGAGGAGGAGGAAATATCCAGGGGAACAACTGGTCTTGCTGCTAGTGACAGAGGCAAAGAAGACATTAAGTGTCTCATCCCTTGTCACCAGGATTTTTCCCCCAAATTCCAATAAAGCATTATGATTCTCCCTAATCTTCCTTCATTTAAAGTATTTTTTTTTATTTATTTATTTATTTATTTATTTATTTATTTATTTATTTATTTATTTTTATTGTCTTTGACAGTAATAGATGGATTGAGCTCCAGATGGGCTTTGGCCTGTTTAATTTTGAGCTGCACAGCCCCATAACATTCAGGACACAGCTCCAGACAAACTGACAGCATGCATGAGAAGAAAGCGCAGCAAATGTGGAACCTGACAGCATTCCATCCCCTGCCCTTCTGTGATTGTGCTGCAATTCCATTCAACTGGTTACTCCTGAATTATCCAAGTTTCCCTGCAACTCTTGCTGTGCTGATGTCTGGTCAGAGATAGCACAGTCACATGAAGGTTGAACTGTCTGCCTGCTGACATTAACAGCTGATAGAATGGAGCATCACTGTGGGTGAACCTTGAGAAACTGCAGGATTTTGACTTCAGAAAACTCTTGACTTTCACGTGGAGAAGAGCCCAGTCCTGTACCAGAGGAAGAGGAACCCCACCCATCAGGGCAGACTGGGACCTTGTTGAGTGAGTAGTGGGCAGGAGGAAGAGGGCCTGGGTACAAGGAGGGATGCCATACGAGCAGTGGTGCCTCCTCACGAGGAAGCAGGCCAGCTTCCTACAGAGCTGCCTTACGAGGAGCATGACCACCAAGAAGATCTGAGTTATCAGACAGCTCAGATCTTCTGTAACACCACAGAGATAAGGGTCTACAACCAAAAAGAAAAGATGTGGAGGTCTCGAAGTCCCTAGGATAGCCATGTATAGACAGGGTAGAGGGTTGTGACAAGGCTGAAAGTCCCAACAGGACCATGTCTTTGTGCCCATAGCTATGGCTGCTGTCTCTGTCACTGAGACCTAGCAGGAGACAGATGATCTTTAAAACACTATGGCCTCATTGCCCCCTTGCCCTCAACTAAGAACCAGGCAGGGGTCATACCATTCTCCTGCACTTGGCAATGCACATCCCCATCTCCTACTGCCCCACAAAGAGCCCTGAGCAACCTGTCAAGGAAAGGATCTCCCTTCCGAAGCACTTGGGGTCAAGTCCTGGCCCTTGTGCTTGGTGACACACATCCAGTTTGTCCACACATCAGTGTCACCTTCACATTGCCTTTGTCTCCTTGTCCTCACGGCCTCCAGGGTTCTGCTCTAACGAGCTCCAAGGGAGGCTGTGTGAGTGCTGGCCCTAAGGAGGACACTGCATGAAACTTGCCTCTGACTTGCACTTCTGGAGAGATGTCTTCAATTGTCTCTGAGTGCCTGAGGTTCGTGGGCTCATCAGCAAAGCCCCCAGAGGGGTGATTGCAGTGCCTTGGGCTGGTGCTGTGCTGCTGAGCTGGGCCGGGCTCATGGGACAGAGAGAGCTCGTGGCAAGAGGGCCCTGGTGCAGAGAGACAGCTGTGCCCAGGAGCAGCTCCTCTGCACAGCGCAGCAGGGCTGGGGGCTCTGACCGCAGCTGGCACACAGAGAGGACAGAAGGAGAGAGGGCTTGGAGGCACTGAGGAGCGCAACAACAGAGGGCAGCGTGTGGCAGGACACATCTGCAGGCTCCTGACACCATGAGGCTCTGGCAGCAGGGCCATGCAGGTGGGGTTGCCAGAGGAGTCTTGTACAGCTGGCACATCACATGGCTGATAGCATCTGTCAGGATGGGTCTCTTTGTTTCTCCATGAAGGAGTAGAAAACGCTTTAGAGAATGGCATTTATGATTGGAATTTTCAACAGTAAGTCCAAGGCTGGGGCGATCCGAAAGGCAAGACATTTTCTGTAGCCTGTGCTTGTGTTAGAGTGGATGCCAGTTTCATGGTAATAGGTGGTCAGACTTCTACTGCAGGCTGAGACTGCTAGAGCATTGCAGTGAGGGATCAATATTTCATCAATGAACTTCATAAAGTCCCTTCCCACACCTCAGCCCACAGACTGCACCAACATCATCCTTGTGGTCCTCACATGTTTTATTCTAGCTGATATTAAGGAGCTGAAAACCCTATGATGCCCAGTGCCCTGTCTTTGAGAACTCCCTCCTTGCTTGAGATGAGCACAGATCACCTGTAATGAGCAGGAGCTGCCTCATCTTCAGGCAGAGCTGCAGCACAGGAGGGTCTGCTGAGTGTCCGTCTGTCCCTCCCTGGCCTTGCCTCCCCTGGCAGCAGCACGCTGGCATTCCTCCTGGCTTCTCCAGCTGGCCGTTGTGCTGCTGGTCTTGTTCCCAGGCTGGCTGAGGATGGGGGTTTAGATGCCCATGGAGTGAGCCCTCGGTGTGCTTGGAGGAAGGGGAGTACAGGGACTGGTTTAGGGGTGTGGAGATGGGCACTTTGAGCCTGGATGTCTCTGCTCTCAGCAGTGTCCTGGTTTGTTTCAGGCAAACATAGGAGTGCAATTGTCCCGTAGGTCAAAGAGACACCAGCACAGGGCAGTTGACACTAGGACTAACAGACAGACTCAATGTGCTCTCTGAAGGACACTGCACTGAAGATATCGCCACTTTGATGACACACAAGGATTTACTTTGAGTACAGTGCGTCTGCTAGCACAAAAGAGAAAAAAGAAAAATCACTACATGATCTTTACCACTTACTTTGGGCAGGACTGACTCCCACATTGCCCACAGAAAGTCCCCTGCTCTCAGTGACACCCTCTAGCAGCAGTAGCCAGAACTCACGAAAGGGACCTGCCAAAAGTCTGAATGGAAGTGAAGAATCATTTGGGAGGGATTAAATGAAAAATTGAATGATTTTTCCTCTGAACTGAGAAATGAAGGCATAAAAGACAAATAGATTTTTTTTTATTATTATTTTGTAAGATAACTCTGTTAAGATAACTCTGATAAACACTCAGTGTTTTTCTTTTCCTTGGGCAGAACCCCATGCCCAGAAGCAGGAAATGCCCAACAGCAGCTCTGTGAGTGAGTTCCTTCTGCTGGCATTCGCAGACACACGCGAGCTGCAGCTCCTGCACTTCGCGCTCTTCCTGGGCATCTACCTGGCTGCCCTCCTGGGCAACGGCCTCATCCTCAGCGCCGTAGCCTGCGACCACCACCTCCACACCCCCATGTACTTCTTCCTCCTCAACCTCGCCCTCCTCGATGTGGGATCCATCTCCACCACTCTGCCCAAAGCCATGGCCAATGCCCTGTGGGACACCAGGGCCATCTCCTATCAAGGCTGTGCTGCACAGGTCTTTTTCTTTCTCTTCTTCATATCAGCAGAGTATTATAACCTTACTATCATGGCTTACGACCGCTATGTTGCCATCTGCAAGCCCCTGCACTACGGGAGCCTCCTGGGCAGCAGAGCTTGTGCCCAGATGGCAGCAGCTGCCTGGGGCAGTGGCTTTCTCAATGCTGCCCTGCACACAGCCAACACATTTTCCCTGCCCCTCTGCCATGGCAATGCTGTGGACCAGTTCTTCTGTGAAATCCCCCAGATCCTCAAGCTCTCCTGCTCAAATGCCTACCTCAGGGAAGTTGGGGCAGTTCTGTTTAGTGTTTCTTTAGTCCTTGGTTGTTTTGTTTTCATTGTTTTCTCCTACATGCAGATCTTCAGGGCAGTGCTGAGGATGCCGTCTGAGCAGGCTCGGCACAAAGCCTTTTCCACATGCCTCCCTCACTTGGCTGTGGTCTCCCTGTTTCTTAGCACTGGCATATTTTCCTACCTGAGGCCCCCCTCCATTTCCTCTCCATCCCTGGACCTGGTCGTTGCACTTCTGTACTCGGTGGTGCCGCCAGCAGTGAACCCCCTCATCTACAGCATGAGGAACAAGGATCTCAAGGATGCAGTGAGGAAACTGTTTCCATACATGATTCTTAAGCATCCATGATGCTTTCAGAAGATGTATTCTTAATAATATGCAAATATTTTGATTCACATTATATCATATCATTTTTATCGTTACTAGTGTTATCATAACATTGTCATTAATAAGAATCCCAAGAGAAATCAAAGGATATTTGGGAAAATGACACAACATTTTTAAAATTATTTTTCTCTGTTAGTATTTGAACAATATTTCATTTTGGTTTTAATAATCTCATTCTTAGCATTCTGAATGTTACTTCTTGTGTTAGGTTTGACCACATCATCTAATGTACATACAGAACCAGGCTTGCTTGGTAGAGAAAGACAATAAAGATGTTATCAAAAATTCATTGGTCTCAATTTCCTTTTCTTCCCATCTACTCTGGAGCTGGGGGAGCAGCCCCAGCATACAGGAGGGGCTCAGGACCAAGAGCCCAGCTGCCACGGTTAGGAGCAGTGTATTTGGATTAGACCTTGTGAATCTAGGTGACAGTCCTGTCGTCTCTATAGCAGGGCCAGCACAAAGCCTTTTCCACGTTCCTCCCTCACCTGGCCATGGTGTCCGTCTCCCTCAGGCCTGTCATGGTTGCCTGCCTGAAGCCCCCCTCAGTCTCCTCCCCATCCCTGGACCAGTTGGTGGCAGTTTTGTACTCGGTGCCTCCAGCAAAGCATGTGCCTCTCCTGCTGAGCGCTGCTGGTGGGGTCAGGCCCGGTTGCTCCTCTCACTTGGTGCCAGTGCTGCTTTGGGGCTGTGCTGGGACTGCAGGCAGGGACAGGCAGTGGGCACGGCAGTGGCACAGCTGGCCTCCACTGCAACACTTCCCTCCTAAGGAGGGATCTCCTCCGAGGTGGACTGAGCAGAGCTCAAGTGCTCAATCTGGTGTGAGCAGGCAGAGGAGAGCTCTGCAGCCCCAGGGCACACAGCAGCCCCAGCAAAGGAGCCTGGTGAGTGGTTCCTTGCAGCCCTGGCAATGGCAGTGACCTCATCAGCTGGGTTTGCCTCCTGCAGAGTGCCCCTGTGCCCCGGGCACCAGAGTTGCCTTGCTCTGCAGAGCAGCACTGCCAGCTGGGGTTGGGGCTGGGGCTGGGGCTGGGGCTGTGGTTGCTTCCCTGAGTATCTGCTAGACCAGCTTCAGTCTTCTGGACTTGAGTGTGATCTTCACTGTGCACAAGGAGCTGAGAGACCGCCAACAGACATGGGGCTGGAACATTGCCTGCAAGGTCCCTCCTGCCCTAGCACCTCACAGGACTGGCACGGAACTGGCTCCTGAGTGTCAGAGAGGCTGGGAGCCCAGCAGGTGTGCCATGAGCTTGGAGGATCACAACCAGATCACTTCTACCTGGGCAGGTCCTGGCCCAAAAAGGGGGTGTTTTGTAGGTGTGATATTATAAGCTCAGTGTTGCCTCAGAAACACTAAGTCCAGCAGGAAGTGAATGGCTGTTAAATGGCCTGTGAGTTGAGCTCTTTCTGAAGTAGCTGACAGGTCACCCTTGACTCCTGGCTGGGATCTGTGCCTTTAGGCTCACATCTGCCTGTGTCCATGGTAGGGCAGCAGAAGGCACTTGCTGTGCATGTAGTTTCTGAGATCGGCTCTTCCTAAGTACCTGCTAGGCCCCATAGTGGAAGAGGTCTTGGTTAGGGGTTGTCATGTCAGAGGTGTCAGCTTTTACCCGAAGTCATCCTTTTGGGACTGCTTTCAGTTTTCTACACAGAGGGGGCCACTGCCTCCAAGATGCTTGGGGCAAACTGAACCGTGCATGAGTGTTTGGAAAAATTTACCCTGGGTGCAAAGAAGGCATTCCGCATCCAAAACTTGGAGGCAGGAAACAAAATTTTAGGGTGATACAAGAATTGCATGACACATTGTGCAGGGTTCACCTACAGCTTCAGGGGCCGCGTCAGTCTCAAGAAAGGAGTAGCCAACAGAAGTGAGGCAGATACTCTGAGATCATGAAAGCCATCAGAAAGCTGCCCCTAGGAAGATGGCTAATATGGGGAAGTCAGGAGAAGCCTGGCCAGGAGAGATGTGAGATTTGGGGTAGGAAAGAGGAGTTTGGCCAGCAGAAATTGATGATTTCTGTGAGTTTAGAACGTTCAGGCAATGTTGATTCTGCTGTAACGCTGGCTTCAAACAGTCATGTAAAGCCATTCCCCCTTTTTTAACCAGTGACATTAATCTGCAAACCTAAATGCTACTCCACACCCTGACAGAAATACACTATTCTTATGCCTGACCACAAAGTATCCCTTCAAGACAAAACACAGCCTATAGCCACTTCCCTTTATCTTTAGTCTCTTGCTCACCCTGATCTGATCAGCTTGTGGGCCACAAGGAGGGGATGGGTGGGGATGCTCTGATGAGCTCAGCTCTGCCTCATCATCTTCTGCTCCAGCATGAGGAATATGAGTGTGGCAGTGACTGTGAGATCCCTTCTGTCTCTACACGTGATAGGGCAGCAGCAGGAAGGTGTCACAGAAAGGGACTGTGAGGTCACTTGTGTCTGGAGGTGTCAGGTCACCCTTGACATTTGAGACGTCAAGGCACCAAGTTGGCATGCTGACAGTAGGATTCCCTCTGCCTCCAGAGCCAGGAGGACCCAGGCAGAAAGAAGGCCCCCAGATGGGTTGTCCTGTCCCTTCTGCTTGAGTCCATGACTGCACAGCAGCAGCAGGCACAAGGCTTGGCTGTGTGTAGCCAAGAAACTGCAAGGCCAGCAGCAGGCCCCTGGCTTGGAAGCTGCTGCTGAGGTGACTTGTGTCTGCTTGACTGAGAGGCTGCAAAGAACATATTGGGCTGGGATGCCTACTTCAGGAGAGGTTTCCACCCTGATGGAGCTTCCTTTGGTAGTAGGAAAGAGCAGGAGAAAAAAAAAAAAAAACTGCCACAAAATGTTCCATGGAAGGCTGGCACTGGTCACAAGGAGGAAGAAATGTCCCTCAAGATGTCATGCAATGGTTCTATACGTCACCCTCTGATAAGACCCTGGCTTTGTGTTTCAAGGAACAGCTGGTCAGGGCTGACCAGATATCGGTGAAAGCAAGGCATGAAAGCAAGTTGGTGAACTGAGATGGGTGTCTGCAGACTTTAATAGGGTGATGTGTGGGACAGCATAGGAAAGCCTGCAGAGGAGAAGGCAGAGGGTGCTGGTAAAAAGAGTAGGCCCTAACTGCCCTGAATTTTTTGTCCCTTCGGCTAGAGCTTAGGAGGAGGCATGTTATATTCATTGTGATGGGGACTCACGGATTCCTTTCAACCCTGTGCAGCTGCTTGGAGGTTTCATACCACAGTTCTTCTCACGACATCCCACTGCCCACCACATTCCACAGACCCCAAGAAGAACCTTGAGCTAGATATGGGGGTGCAGGATCTCCCTGTCCCGTGGCTGGGGTCAGGTCTTGGCTCTTCTGCATCACCAAAACCAACCAAGACTTTCCTCAGCACAGTGCTTTGCCTGTCTGTAACCATGGCCTCCATGTATCTGCACAAACAAGATTTTGGGGAGGCTTAGTTTTTAACAGCCCTCAATGGGGCCCATTAATATTCCAAGTCACATCAGCTTTTCCTCCTGACTTTACTTTCTCTAGCAGTTGCATTATTCTCCTCTCAGTACCTGAGCTTCATAGACTCAGCACCACAATACACCATGGAACTCATTAAAATGCAGAAACTCCTAACATCTCTTCCATAGTATTCTTCAAGCCTTCATGCCTTGTGTAGCTAATTGCAGAGCTTGCATGATGTAGTCAAAGAAGATTTCAAAAAGCAGCTAATAAAAAAAAAAATCTAGTTTTAAAGGCTGATTTTTGCTGCATTTCAGTTTTGAGCATCATTCTCCTCTTGCTATTGATCCAGGGTGACTTATTTGGAGACCTCCACAGGGAGGAATAGCAGAGTCTAGAGGGCTGACACTTCCACTGCCAGCAGTGGTCTTTATCCCTGTAACTGCAGCCCAGCCCAGCACATTAAACCCTTTCTAAGACAAGTCAGGTGTTGTTTTTTTTTTTAGATAATAAAATAAAATAAAATAAAATAAAATAAAATAAAATAAAATAAAATAAAATAAAATTGAAATGACCATTGGAACCAGAGAAATTCAGCTGTAATATGAGTAGGTACCTGGTCATCCATGGTCTCTCTTGCATCTTCTGTAGAAAACTCAGGATGAAAAGTAAAGACATTTACTTTTTTTTTTTTTTACTCTACTATTTTTTCAAAAATCCTACTTTTTTCAAAATCCTACTTTTTTTTAAAATCCTACTTCCTCTGCTGTAGATGCAGAAGGCAAAAAGAATTGCATTGTTCCTTACACTACTCTGGGACGTGTAACCCAGAACAAGTCTTACAAGGAGCAGCTAAGGGAGCTGGGATTGTTCGGCCTGGAGAAGCGGAGGATCAGGGGTGACCTTTTAGCTCTCTATAGCTACCTCAAAGGAGGCTGTAGAGAGGTGGGGGTTGGTCTGTTCTCCAACATGCCCAGTGACCAGACTAGAGGGAATGGGCTAAAGTTGTGCCATGGGAGGTTTAGGTTGGCTATTAGGAAAAACTTCTCTACTTGTGAGATATGTTCATCTGATTCGTGTCAGTATGGAACAATGCTAGGGCCGCATGGTATGATGAATGTGACCTTCTGTCTTACATACCCTTGTATAACCACAAATCTAAGAAAAACAGAGTGGTTAATGCATATAGTTCTTGTATCTTGCAAAGAAATGTTTTAGCAATTCGTGTCAGTAGAGATCTTGAAGGGAAATGTATTTGTAGGCTTTTCCTTGAAGACTCTGATATCTGGGGGGTTTCAGAACAACAGCTAACTATTATGACTATTGCATGGGACACTAAGCAAGTCTCTGATATCTGGCCAGGAGATTAAGAAGAAGGGGAAAGCTGAAGAACAACTAAAAGACAAAGCTTGCAGGGGATGCTGCACAAGTCTCTGACTTGTCGGACAAAGGAGAAGGGCAAGAGGGAGGAAGACTATGAGCCTTCAGCATGAGAGACCCCCAAAAGGGACACCCAGAGACTGATATGCATGCTCCAGTAGGAGGGTTTGGATTCTGGAAACTAATTAAAGTACCCTGTTTTTTTCTAGAAGTAGTAATAAATATATATTAGCCTTGAGGACAGGCTCCCCTCTTATACTGTTCACCCCACAGCAGTCCCTTTCAAAAACAACTTTTCATTGGTCAACTTTGCCCAGCAACAAGGTTAAAGAACAAGGTTAAAGAAAGCCAAAAGGCAGAAAGGTAAGAGGAGGTAAAAACATGAAAA